CAGTTGATTACTTGGTATCCGTCTGCAACCGCATGCAACTTGACATCCACAGGCCGAGGTGCTTTCATTTCAGCATACTAAGCTTGCAGGCTAGGGTTTGTGGGCTTACAAGTGAGTCTCTGTGTAGGTGGTTAACAGAACGTGATCTCAGAGATGGCTGACACGTTCAGGTTTCACTTGACAATGCTGTCTGAAGGTGATTAAGAATTTCAGTTTCTAAGAGGATATAAAGGCTCGGTGAATAATAAGGACTCCCTGCCTCCACAAGCTGCCACTGAAGGTCCATATGCCCAAGTTCAGCGCAAGGCTGGCCCTCGCCCAGCACAGCACACAGCCCGGGAAGGGCACACTCACTCTCCTCTCCAATCTTGGCTCCATGAAGAATAAGACTCCTCATCCAAGGGCAGGAGACTGAGCCAAGGAATGTGGGGCTAGCAACATTAGCAAAAGCTGACTTGAGTTCTAGCCACAGTTCCAATGTGACACAGTTAAGAACTTACCTTCGTTTTCTCTGCTTTAAAATAGAGATCTCTTACCTCCCCTACTCCAGCAGGAAATCATTGTTCAAACTTGCTTTCTCAAACATTTAGCCAATCAGTGATGGGTTTCTCATTCCTCAGGGACACTCACTTCCCGAGTTTGTGGTGGGTATATAAATGACTCAGTCCACTGTTGGCTTTTTGGGGGCCCTCTGCCAATGGACTTAATTCAAGGCCTCCAGTGCTGTACATACTGGGTTTTCTTCTCTTTCAGAGATGGACTTTACCTCTGTTAACGCTTGGAGATTTGTCAGGGCAACAGAGCAGGCCTCTGGCACCATTACCGGGCTCTGAGCACAGTCCCACCTTTCCCCGACGGGAGCAAACTGCACACTCCTGGGCTGTGTGGTGCAGGCAACCAGACCCCAGCGCCTAGGGTGGCGCCCCGGATGCAGCGGGGTGACATTCATTATGGCCTGATACAGTCTATCCTCTCCCACACGGAGTCCTCTAGGGAGAGGCTTTTCCTTGCCGGCAGGACTGAAGGTGTTTCCTAACACCAGTACCCAGGGGGTAGAACTGGAGCATTATGCATCTCTGGAGTGGCCTTAACTTCATAAAAGGTGTGCTCTCCCTTTGGGCTTGATTTTCACACATATATATTATATATATATTTCACATATGTATTATAAACATTCGAATCATTAACATATATCGTCCTTGTAAAAATGTACACATAAGGAGAAATCCCCCCTTGCCCTGCCTCCCTATCCTAGTCTCCTCCTGATGTTTTCCTGTGTGTTTATAGATGTATGTGCTCATGTAGGAATACCTATTTTGGGGGCACCTGGGTGGCTCAGTCTGTTAAGCGTCTGCCTTTGGCTCAGGTCACGATCTCAGGGTCCTGGGATCAAGCCCCACGTTGGGCTCCCTGCTCAGCGGGGAGCCTGCTTCTCCCTCTCCCTCTGCCTGCCGCTCCCACTGCTTGTGCTGTCAAATAAATAAATAAAATCTTAAAAAAAATACGTATTTTGTGGGGTGCCCAGCTGGCTCAGTCAGTAGAGCATGCAACTCTTGATCTCAAGGTTGTGAGTTCAAGCCCCACACTGGGTATGGAGCCTACTAAAAAAATGTATTTTGTTTTTATTAATATAAATAGGACCTATTAAGTTTTAAAACTTTTTTTTTTTAAAGATTTATTTATTTATTTGACAGAGAGAGACATAGCGAGAGAGGGAACACAGCAGGGGGAGTGGGAGAGGGAGTAGCAGGCTTCCCGCCAAGCAAGGAGCCCGATGCGGGGCCCGATCCCAGGCTCCTGGGATCATGACCTGAGCCGAAGGCAGACGCTTAACGACTGAGCCACCCAGGCGCGCCTGAAACTTGCTTTTTCGATTTAATGAAACCTTTCCAGTCAACATATTCATCTAATTTTTAACTGTTGCAGACATTCCATAATACAGATGAGTCACAGTTTATTTACTTTTTCCCTGTTGGGACATTTGTTTCCAGTGTTCACTCTGACTTTTTAAGCTAGGTTTATTGATGTATATTTTATATACAGAAGTCTTTTTTTTAAAGATTTTATTTATTTGAGATACAGAGCAGGTGAGCACGAGCTGGAAGGAGAGAGGGAGAATCCTCAAGTAGACTCCCTGCTGAGTTTGAAGCCGGACTCGGGGCTCGATCTCACGACTGGGAGATTATGACCACAATCAAGAGTCAGCTGCTTAACCACTGGAGTCACCCAGGTGCCTGGAAGTCACCTCTTTAAATGTGCAAGTTTCAAAACACACACACACACACACACACACACAGAGTCCTGTAACCACTACCACAGTCAGGACTGCCATCACCCCAAATGTGCCCTTGTGTCTGTAGTCAATCCCCCCACCCCACCTGTGTTTTTATCCCTCTAGTTCTGCCATTTCTGTAATGTCCTGCAGATGGAAGCATACAGTATGTAGCCCTAGGAGTCTGGCTTCTTTCACTTGGCACAGTGCAGCGGCAATTCACCCAGGGGCCGTAGCGGCAAGCCCTCTGTCTTCATGGCCCAGGGGCATTCCAGTGCAGGACAGCACCACTGTTTATCTGCTCACAAGCTGGTGGACATTGCTGGGGTGGGGGGCGGGGTCCAGTTGTGGGCTATTAGGATTGAAGCTGCTACAGACATCTGGGTACAGGTTTTTGTGTGCACATATGATTTTCATTTCTTTGGGGGGGGAATAGCTATGAGTAAGATTGCTGGGTTGTAGGGTGGTATGTTTAAGTTTACAAAAAACTGCCCACTGGTTTTCAAGGTACCTGTATGATTTTACATTCCTGTGAGCAATGTGAGAGCGTTCTGGTTGTTCTGCAAGCTCATCAGCCTTGGGACTGTCAGGCGTCGGAAACTGTAACCGTTCTGATAGGTATATAAAACATTATCTTGTAGTTTTATTTGCATTTCCCTCAACTAGTGATGTTGAGTAGCTTTTCATGTGCTTATGTGACCATCCGTATCTTCTTGATGAGGTCTATGTGTACCTTTACTGCCGTTTTTATACTGCCTTGTTGCTCTGTTATTGAACTTCGAGAGATCTTTATACAGCCTAGATACAAGTCCTTCATATGTGTTTTATAAATATTTTCTCTTCTGTAGAATTTTTAAAGGCTCCCTTTCAACATCACTGATGATCGTTATTTCTGAAGTGCTATCAGGAGTTTCATGCTACCCTGGTATCTCTTTGGAGATCCACATTTGACAAATAATTATTACTCTTTTAACTGCAATATATTTGACGTCTAACATCTTGTTAATTTAGATATACAACCTGTTGACTTGATACATTTATATATTGTGAGATGACTGTCATTGTAGCAACAGCACCTCTTACATCACAGAATTATTTCATTTTTTATGGCTGGATTATGATTTAATGTCTTAGCAAATGTGATGATTATAATATTGTTGTCTACATTCACTACACTATGCATTAACTCTAGGACTTATTTATTACTACGTGCAAGTTTGTACTCTTAAACATTTCTTCTATCCCCCCACTGCCCCCAGTTCCAGGGACCGCCATTTTACTCTCTGCTTTTATGAATTTGACTTTTTTGATTCCACATAAAAACGAACACCACATTTAAGACTATTTGTCTTTCTCTGATTTATCTCACTTAGCATAATGTCTTCAAGGTCCATACATGGCAGGATTTTCTTCTTTTTCATGGCTCAATAATATTCCTGAAGATATTTTTCTTATCAATATATATATATCTCACATCTTCTTTATCCATTTATCTGTTGATGGGTACTTGGGTTGTTTCCATCTTAGCTATTGTAAATAATGCTGCAATAAAATGGGCATGCATATACCTCTTTGATATCCTGTTTTCATCTCCTTTGGGTACATACCCATAAGTGGAATAAGTAGATTTTTAATTTTTTGAGGAACCTCCATATTGTTTTCCATAGTGACTGAAACAATTACATTCCACCAATAGTGTACGAAGGTTCCCTTTTCTCCACAGCCTTGCCAACGTTTGTTATCTCTTGTCTTTTTGACCTTAGCCATTCTAACAGGTGTAAGGTGGTATCTCATTGTCATTTTGATTTGCATTTCCCTGATGATTACTGATATTTAGTATCTTTTATGTACCTGCTGGCCATTTGGATGTCTTCTCCCAGCTGTTCAGGTTTTTCACCTGCAAATGGTAAGTTAGGCCAACTGCCTACCAGTGGTCAGCCAGTCATCACCAACTGAGGAGAAGGATAAGGAACTCTCTCTTCAGCTCTTAGCTAGGTCCTCTAGTCCAGCTGGGAGTTACCAGGCCTCTATTAGTAAGGTGCATCTGACCTCATTTAGCTCCTGCTCCCTATTTATCTCTACTAATTAGAGTTTGCAGTGGTGGAAGGATAAAGGATTGGGACTTCAAACCTCTAACATGTAATTCACTAAGGTTGGTTTCCACTGTCACTTCAATTGGACTATACTAAAGAAATGTACTCACGGATGAATCAAAGTAGAAAAGCATGCTGCAAATAGGGAGCAATTAGGTTATTTGCATCATTGTGAACTTGTGTGTACGACCGAAGGAAGCTAGTCCTGCCTAGCTGCTCACCCATTCCACCTGGTCCCGGGCAGCGATGACTTGCCCTCCACATTCTTCTCTCAGACTAAGACTGGATGCGACATGTCGAGCCACACTCCTATACTACACCAAGCGGTATCTAGCAGTACACTGAAGCTGTGTGTGGGTTCTCACTCCAACCACCTTGTGAAGTAAGACCCACGCACTTGGTCTTTCTGTACATTCTGCCCCCTGAATCTTGCTGAACTCCTAGACCTCGTTCAAAACCCACTTCAGGGGCTGCTCAAGGAATGCTTTCCTGACTCCCCAAAGATGTAATTAATCATTTCATTCTCTGTGATACTTCCATATTTTACATATTTTGTATATGATAAAGTACTTTCTACAGGTCACACAGTGTTCTAAGTGCTTTACATATATTGACTCTTCTTTTTAAAAATACAGTTATGTTCCTTAACCCCATACAGCAACAGCAGAATGGCACAAAGTCAGCTGTGCAACAGAAAGAGCCAGCAATTCTTCTGCACTACAGCATCACCAAGACAATTCCCATCCACAGGTCTAAATACAGCGCGGACATACTGACTCATTTAACTTTCACCACAGTTCTGTGAGGTAGATACTTTTAACTTGTCTATTTCACAGATGATGAAACTAAGAGGCACACAAAGCAAATAACGTGCTCTAAGTGACTTACTTTGAATCCATGTAGCTCTTAAAACATTCTGCCATGTGTTTCTATTGCTGCACTTGATACACTATGTTGGCTATTTGTTTGCCTCCAAGTCCTCTTCAATACTGGGAGTGTCTGGAAGCAAGGGCCTGTTCGTATTGAGCTCTATATCCCCATTACTCAGCAGTCCCAAACCGATGGACTTCCTTTGTGCTTACGAGGCCATGGCAGAGACCCTCAACTGTGACCAGCCAAATCACCAACTTTCTCATAAGCCTGGGTGGTCTAGAATGTAAGTAAATCAAGTACACTGGCCATCTGCAGTCATTCCTGGGAAATATCTCATCTGCATCTAGAGCCAAGAAAAAAAAAGGAACATCATTCTGTAAGAAACTCCAGAACCTCAACAAAAATTGGAAACTAGGGGCACCTGGGTGGCTCAGTTGGTTAAGCGTCTGCCTTCAGCTCAGGTCATGATCCCAGGGTCCTGGGATAGGGCCCCTCATCGGGCTCCCTGCTCCACGGGAAGTCTGCTTCTCCCTCTCCCACTCCCCCTGCCTGTGTTCCCTCTCTCGCTATGTCTCTCTGTCAAATAAATAAATAAAATCTTAAAAAAAAAAAATTGGAAACTAACCTCTAAAGGCAAAACAACTCAGGTAGAATCCAGAATTAACTCTTTGGATTCAAGAAAGATAACTTGAGACTTTGCTACCCATTAGTAAGAAGTCAAATACAAAAGAGTTATAGGTCAATTACACCTCAATAATATTAATAACAATAAAACAAACAACAAAAAACCAAACGGGAGACTCTGGGCAGGTGAATTACAGCTAAGGGCAATCAGCAGCATGGGACCCATAAAAGTACACTTAATACACATAATAGTAACTAAGAGCCTGCACTGCTGTGTTCTTCTGGGATTTGAATCTGGTTCTGCCCCTGACTACCTTGGTTATGACCTTGGTTAGGTTCTTCAACCTTTCAGGACCTGATGTTCCACATCTATAAAACAAAGGCAAAAAGAGACCCATATTTTAGTGCTGTTGTGAGGATTAAATGAGGAATAGGAGTCAAGGGCTTTTAGCACAGTGCCTGGCATACAGCAAGGGTCCACTAAACAAAAGCTATTATTCTTACTGCTTTTTTAGTAACATAGGCAGAGAACCGCTGGCACGTAAGGCACATTATTACAGACACCCATCAACCTTTGCTCCTGGTGCCTGGCACACACGGGGCATTTTAGTGGGTTTTCACAGAATGAATGAATGAATGGCCAAAGTGCTTCCCAGGCTTTTGTTCAAGGACAGAAAATAGAATGTAAGAAGAAGAAAGAAGAAGAAGTAGAAATGTAAGTAAGAAATATAAAGTAGAAATGAGGCTTACATGTCACAAGGACTAGCCCAGTGAGCCCTTCAATTTAGCATTCTATTAACGAGATCGATGTATTACAGACATCCACTGTATGTGTTCATAATAATGATCCTTAGGCATTGTACAAATCCTCTTGTGTTTTAGGAATTTTCAATGGTTAAATTATATTCAAAGAAGTTAAAATTAGGTATATATTACTGCATTCAAATGCTTTAAAAATTGGAAATTCATGTAGAGCATAAATGGCAACAATGAATTGACTGGAATATTCTGATTGATTGCAACACTCAATTCACACTTCTCTACCCACACAGTGTTGTATCCGTCTACATTCTCTATTTCCCACTAGACTGTGAACGCCTCTTATGTCTAGCACTTTAGTATCCACAGTGCCTGGGATATAATCATGGTCAATAAATACTTGCCAATAAACCACCGCTGTGCTCCATGACCACGCCACACTACAGTGTTTAGTCCAGCAACATATCTTCTGGTGTACTTAGATTTCCACAAGACAATAAAAATCTCCTATCTTAAGATTTTTAAATACAAATTTCAACATTTAAAAATACGGTGCACTTTAAGAAAATCGTTCTTTAAAACCCTAAAATTTGGGGTGCCTGGGTGGCTCAGTCATTGAGCGTCTGCCTTCGGCTCAGTCATTGAGCGTCTGCCTTCAGCTCGGGTCATGGTCCCAGGGTCCTGGGATCGAGCCCCGCATCGGGCTCCCTGCTCGGCGGGAAGCCTGCTTCTCCCTCTCCCACTCCCCCTGCTTGTGTTCCCTCTCTTGCTGTGTCTCTGTCAAATAAATAAAATCTTAAGAAAAAAAAAAACCCTAAAATTTAAGACTAACTGATCTGACAGAATCTAGTTTAAACTGGAAGCTAAGGCATCTAAAATGTCCTTGTTAATTTAGATGATTTCTAACAAAGCCAGATAAAAGCTGTTGATTTTCTTATAATAAATTATTAAAGGCTTATGCCGCCGTCTATCAGATTTACATGGTACTACTGTACTATGGATGGTGGTACTTGCTCAAAGACCAGGAAGTAGGAAGAAGAAAAGATGGAAATATGTGAAGAAAAGGAAGATTAAAAAGCAATCTCTGATTCCTCCTACACATGAAAATATTAGGCTTAGGAACCTGCTCTGACCCACTTCAGAAAGAAAACTGAGTTGAAAAGAAAACGAGCTTATCATCTCCTGGACTCGGACACAAATGCTAGGGAAAATGGCCAATGTACTGGGATGAAAGGTGGGTGCCCAGCCCCCATGAAGGCTGACTATAAGGCAGTGCCCCTTCAGCCCAGTGCCCCCGCCTCCTATCACATTCCACAGGGGTCCTTAACTCCTATGGAGGTCGAAGAAAGCTACTCTTAGGCTGTGCACACTACCTGGGTACTTGAAGTGCAGCAGGGATGAAAATTTTAGCAAGGGGATCTTGACTTTAAAGGAGGGAGCTCAGTTTTCATCCTGTGTTTGTATTAGAGATGCCAAAGACAAACTCCTTTGCTCTCACAACTTCTTCTGGGGTCTGCATCATTTTCCTGGAGGGGAGGATTTGTGTGTGGAGGGAAGATTTCTGGAAAAGTAAACTCTGGTATTCACTTTGGCCAAAGGTAGAATTCTCCTCAAAGAGGGATCAGGTCTCATGACAGTGTGGTGGGAAGGAAATGGTTCTATAAAATGGTCATTGTCTACCTCTCAGAGCTATTTCTGAGCATAAAATGAGATATTTTAGAGCATTTAACACACTGCCAGCCACGTAAGGGCCTGATAAGTGTTTACTCTTATTTCACTGATAAGTACCAACAATGATGAAAGTAAGCTCCAAAGAAAATTTGTTCATAGACCTTTAGGAACAACTCCAACTCTGCTGAACTCCTTTAAGGGCTGCTTATGATACAACAGAGCAAAACCTGTTTTCTTTTTTAAGATCTATCATTTTAGAAGTTACTGTGGCAACATGTAATTTCAAATCTTTCCAATGCCCAGCAACCATAATATATTTATTACAATTTGTTGGTTAAAGCATCCCTTAAGTGTGTGTAACGGCGGAGTTTAACTAAATCACCTTTGAAACATGGCCCTCCTGTGCTCTTATGATGTGACATCTTACCAGATGTGTATCTTTCTTACTAGCTTTCCTCTCTCGATCTCACAGTGGTTATAAGGGCTTAGGACTCCTCCTTCCTGATAGTTGGCTGTCGAAAGCATGTTTATAGAGCAAGAGAGTTCTGAAATAAAAGAATAAAGGAACCCAGAGAGAGTCTCCTTCATTGCCATATTTTAGTATTAAATAGGAAAGCAATTTCAAAAAATCTAATCAGGAATGGTACCAGTCTACCGCCTAGATTAGCTATGCCACTGAATGGGTAACAAGTGTTGAAGAGACTAGAGCAGATACTGTCAGGTGTGATGAGGTAAAAGATACCTAAACTAAGCTGAAGACACCAGATCTGCAGAAATACCAGAGCAGAGCCTCAGAGGAGACACAGCTCGGCTAGCAGCTACACAGTTCAATCTGGCAGCCACTGTCACCATAAAAACTAAAGACAGAGGGAGAGCACACAGAGGTCTGTTTCAGGGCAGGACCAAACATCAAAAAAAGACAAGGTTTGGGGGGAAGATATATGCTATGAACCAAGCACATGACAGATATCCAAGATTCTCAGTTCTCTACAGATTTGTCACACCATTATCCATCTGCTTCCTGACACTCAGTCTCCGCCAGAAACTGAAAGGTAAGGGGGATACATTTGGTTCCTGCACCAGAACAAAGTAGAATAAGACCACTCTCCCTCACCAGAATTTTATTTCACAGCGGGAATGCAAAGATAAACATTTTCTCAATGCAGTAGTACTCAACCTCAGCATGCTGGTGTTCTCCTGCTGAAAATCAAATAATACGGGAAAATATTTATCTCAATGGATAGGTTTCTCCTTGATTTGCCTTAATTATATAACATTTTCTTAAATTTTTGGCATTTGCTACTTCTTGGTTGCAAGCATACAGAAGCAACTGACAAAATGAACAAATAAAAGCCACTTTTTGTGTTTAATTTGTTAAAGCTTCTTTTGTTTTGGTGGTCTTGCTTGTGGGGATGCTTGTTTCTGTGCCCGCCTAACACATATCAGCCTCACCCCTACAACCTCTGTTAGTTTGTCAACATCATTTGTCAGGCGAGTCAATACCTGCCAGCTGAGTATGCAGCAAAATTCTGGAGCAAAGTTGGTTTCTGAGAAGCTGATAATCTGGACGGGGGAGACATATCTTGAATTACTGGAAAAATATTTAATTTCTAATTCTTTTAAAAGCAAAATTAAAGAGGGGCACCAGGTTGGCTCAGTCGGTAGACCATGTGACTCTTGATTGCGGGGTTGTGAGTTCGAGTCCTGTGTTGGGTGTAGAGATTACTTAAATAAATCTTTTAAAAAATAAATAAAAGCAAATAAAAGAGATACTTATTGGCCAAGATTTTTTCCATTTTTCATGTCACTAACACTAGGGTAAAATATGCAAGCTAATGA